GCCCCCCCCCCCCCCCCCCCCCCCCCCCGGGGAATCATAAACGTTGACAACACGTATACATTAAATGTGCAAGCGAAGCTTTCAAAGCCTACCTGAGTGTCTGGGTCCGAACCGGTGCACCTGATCAATTCTGTTCCCACGGTACTATTGCTGAGCAAGGTGAGTGTCGACGAAGGAAGTGAGATGGTCGGCGCACGGTTCCGGATGACTGCGATGGTCAGAGTGAAAACTCCACTGCTGAATCCCCCATCATCTTGCAGAACAAACTGGACCTGAGAATCATAAACAAGGACATCATGAGAAAAACACAGACACAATGCTCAGTGCAATTTTAACACTTTCCCTACCGCAATCGAGACGCATTTTGCATAATCACTTTTAGAAACCCCTAACTAATATAATTGGAATAAATCTTCAATAATGTATCACCATCTCATAGATTATTCTTTGATCTTCTATTCTTTAATCTTCAGTTTGATGGGCCATATGACATGGTCTGTATATGTTTAGTTGAAAGTTTCGACATTTCCCTTTGGCGGGTGTTAAAAATAGATATGCCTATCAGGCATTTTGGATTAGTATTAGTCGGCAGTGAAGTCTGGCCACCGGAATGTGACCGGCAGCGGATGTTACTCTTGGGTTTTTTTGTGGAAAGATCTAACGGCTGACAACACAGGTTTTGTTGAGAGCGTGTTGCTCAATTTTCTCTTAATAAACTTTACCCTTTGAAAACGAATCTGAACTGTTATGCTTGCATGACTGCTGAGGTGAAAGAAAACTATTAGATCTAGATCTACATCCATTAAAGCGGGGTAGGGGCGCAAAAATAACAGGTCAGGGAAAAGCCCTGTGCCAGTGACGGATTTTGGCCAGGTAGGAAAAGAATCAAGTCATTCATTTTTCCTCTGTTTAAAAGAAAAGTGCGTGTGCATCGGAATGGAGGAGAAAGTGAGTGTACCTAATTATGTTTGTTGGGCTAGTACATGTTCCCTCACACGAGTGTATATGTGTGAGTGTGTATCAGCAATGGCTTACTGTTTGACTGTTCCCTCACACGAGTGTATATGTGTGAGTGTGTATCAGCAATGGCTTACTGTTTGACTGTTCCCTCACACGGGTGTATATGTGTGAGTGTGTATCAGCAATGGCTTACTGTTCGACTGTTCCCTCACACGAGTGTATATGTGTGAGTGTGTATCAGCAATGGCTTACTGTTTGACTGTTCCCTCACACGAGTGTATATGTGTGAGTGTGTATCAGCAATGGCTTACTGTTTGACTGTTCCCTCACACGAGTGTATATGTGTGAGTGTGTATCAGCAATGGCTTACTGTTTGACTGTTCCCTCAGACGAGTGTATATGTGTGAGTGTGTATCAGCAATGGCTTACTGTTTGACTGTTCCCTCACACGGGTGTATATGTGTGAGTGTGTATCAGCAATGGCTTACTGTTTGACTCAAAGAGAAGAGCGCTGACAATAATATAACGTCATTCGGCAAAGGAAATATGTGAGGTAAACAGACAGAAACAACAGTTAAAAAGAAATAAAGCAAGATCCACCAGATACCAGAATGAAGGTAGGAGTGTTCTTGGTAGAAGTGTTCTTGGTAGGGGTGTTCTTGGTAGGAGTGTTCTTGGTAGGAGTGTTCTTGGTAGGAGTGTTCTTGGTAGGAGTGTTCTTGGTAGGAGTGCTCTTGGTAGGAGTGTTCAAGGTAGTATCCAACCACCAGTAAACAATAATACTATGTGTCACAACGCGATGGAATCAGCCACTCGTCAGTTTTTGGGTATGTTGAGTTATTGGTATTATCTTAAAGACTGTTCGTTTGTCTTGCTTTTAATGAAGAAAATACCTATCTATCTCAAACAGAAGTCAAGATATTCACCATTGAAGGAAGTGGGGTTGCCTGGTCCCACGAGAAAAGTAGCGAAAAAACGGCCGCCTAAGTATTGTGACTTCCATAGCTTGAGAATCCTTGGAAACTGAAAATTTACATTTGTTGTGCTTTTAAGCAACATTTTTCATTAAAATCTACACAGAAATGTGTTTTGAAATCAACAGAAAAGGTGATGAGCCAAAAATCAAACATTTCATCAATATTACCTAACCTGCCAAAAAAATGCCGTTTTCCATTATTTCGTTATTTCGATGAGCGGAGTATTTCACCGAGACGCTTAACCTACGTTCTCACTCATCATTCTTCTTACCTGGTACTCTGGTTGTGTAGTGCCCAACAGAGTCCTTGCCAAAAACACCTGGCCGCGCGTGTCCAAGAAGACGAGGTTTTGGTTGGGTCCACTTGGGGCAAAAGAGAATTGCAGAGCCGAACCAAACTAGGAGAAACAGGGCAATCAGAGGTTGAACTTTTGCTCTGTTTTATATTTTACAAAGCAAGGTTATTCAACAGGTAAGGGTATAGTTCTCATCAAAAAGCTCTTTATCACAGCTACTCTTGTTCCTCTAAGACCAGACAAAGAAAGCAAATTACATGCCAAAGAACAGTACAATTGAAAAGAATCTGTAACTATCACTGACTTGAAAAGAATCTGTAACTATCACTGACTTGAAAAGAATCTGTAACTATCACTGACTTGAAAAGAATCTGTAACTATCACTGACTTGAAAAGAATCTGTAACTATCACTGACTTGAAAAGAATCTGTAACTATCACTGACAGATAGAGGAGTACAAATTTTTGTGCAATGCTGGACCAATGATGATGTTAACAGCAATTACAAAAACAGCAGCAGTGACATGTAACTGAGTTTAAAAGCCTCTTTTATTTATCCTGAAACCTTGTATCTCTACACTGAGTCCACTGAGTCTAAGAAGTCTTTTTCCAATTCAGATATTGATCTTTATTGCCTCCTTCAGCTTCATGTAAGTTCTTGGCATTGCTCGTTCAAATACAGAGCTTTCGTTTCAGAAACCTTTAACAGATCTTTTATCTTTTCAAAGCATTTCCAAACTAAACAGAGCCAGTACATCGACAAGAGGATAAAGCCAATGAGCATAATAAAAGAAAGATTATGAAGTCTCGTGTCAGAAATGACAAGATGCTACTTGAATGAAAATCATGAACGTTCAATTCTAGAAGGTGAGTACTGAAGTTATTACCCCTGTGTCTGGGTCCCGAGCAATGAGACTGAGGTCATACAGTCGCACACCAGTAGACTGAACTTCCTGGATTTCAACTCTATCACTGAGTTGGGTCCACCGTGGAGGGCTGAGGTTGCGCTCAACATTAATAGTCAGGAGCTCTTGAGGGATGTTCCGACAGTAGCCATCATCAGCAACGAACCTCATCTGAAGTCAGTGAAAGGGAACAGATTATGACATGTAATTCTCCCTCAGAAAAACAAAAAGGGCCAGTAATAAGGAAATTCAAAGGGCGGACCCTACAGTGCACCCATCTGGGCAAAAAAAATAAAGACAGAAAAGCTAGAGAAGACAAGTGCAGCCACTGAATATACCCATCCTGTTGACAAGATATCCGCTTTGCAGTGCACTTAACTTTTTACCGACTTGAATCCCTATTGTTCCCAACTATAATGACAATCGGTTACTCTATCTTAGATTCAGAATATTTTTTTGCCTCAATTTCCTTGGGTGACTTTACTGCTTTCAGCTCCGTTCATTAATCATATTGTCTGTGTCAGTCATAAATCAGATGACAGAATTCTAATGAGGAGTTTAAAGATTAAGGTATATGATTTGAAAATTAAAATAACTGCATTTAACTCTGGAGGCAGAGAGATAACTTACCTCGTAAACTCTGTCAGTGTGTCGCTCTAAAGCAGGAGTTACCAAAACAGCACCAGTGGTAGGGTTGAAGCTGAAGTACGTAGCCACATTATTGTCATTCAGCAGTCTGAGGGAGGTGCGGTTGTACCGATCCTGAAGACAAACAAAATTACAATATGTATTCACCTTCGTATATAAGCATTGCTTCAGACTTTTATTTATTTGCTGATGAATTTAAATCTTGCCTTCAGTTCAATATATGAGACCACAAACGACTCAAATTAATGTTAAAATAAAAATTGTGTAAAACTAATCAACAGAAGAAAAAATTGTTACAACAACCGTCAAATGTACACGGGACAGGATTTTTCAATATAAGCATTCGGGCAAACTCTCTTTTCTTGGGAAATGAAAAATGTCTATACCTTGACTTGTTCAAATCTATCAAAGAGCTTCAAGTACATTTTTTCTAAGACTGCTCGGGGAGACTCGTCTCTACTTCTTCAGTGTTCAATTTTCTGTGAAACATCTTTAAAATTCTTAAAGAATTAGTGTGGGCTTTACCCCTAAAGACAAGAACACAATAAGAATTCAAAGCACCACATTGTAACTATATTACGATAAAGGTTCTTACATTAACATCCTGGTCGTCTGCAGTCACTGTGTAAATGACCCCTGTGGTATTCTCCGTGATGCTGATAGCTCGTGGCAGGTTTTGAAACTGTGGGCAGTTCTGATTGCGGTACACGGTAACATCAATGGTGGCTAACACTGAACCATTCAGGGATGGTGACCCTCCATCGTAAATCTGGGCAGACATCTAAAAAAAAGAAAGACAAATATCCCACACAAATGATTCTGCATTCACACAGTTTTTCCTCTTTCAACAACACACGTTTAAACTCTTTTGTTAGGAAGGGTAAACAAAAGTTGAAGAGAAAAAATAATAATATGCAAATTTTTCGAGAAAGACTAAAGGCACTTTGAGGTAAGATATTTTGAAGAATAAAAAATAATTGTAGAACATTTTTTTTTTCTCCTAAAACCAATGTAACGGGTAAAGTTAATTTTATCATCCAGATCGTTAAAGAATCCTGGATTTTAGGCAAACCCTGGGTAAGCACCCATTTGAAAGTATATTCTTTTTGATGACAGCAAATCATAAACACATACCACATAGTTGCCTTCGGTTCCCCCTTGCAGGGATCTGTAGGTAGACAGCTGGCCATTTCTACTTAAAGTGAAGAAACTATTCAGCTGAGTCAGCCGGAAGAAATACAAGTTCCAAGGTTCCTGTAACAGAAGAACAAAAGATGAGTAAAATGATAGCAATGTACTGAACAGTTAGACAGGACCAAGAGAGACCTGTCCTCAGGGTACCAAAAGAGGGGAGGGTATCATTAGAAAACTCTGGGAAGAAGTTCGGTATGAAATAGAACTGTTATAGATGAGGTTAACACTTTTCTTTTGAGTAAATAATTAGAGAAAACCATTCAGCTAATCGACGACAAACAAGAGAGTCAATTTAATTACACAGATTTATTTTTGTTTTCACAAATTTGTTTTTGTTTCTGTTAAATGGGTATTGCAACAAACCAAGAGAAAATGTAAATACTAAATACGGGCTTTTCTTTACGTTCTTGGGCGAGCGTTTTTCACTACTAGACACAGTCAGGACATTTCACATATCCAAGGGTCAAGATCAAAGCAACAGGACATTTCACATATCCATGGGTCAAGATCAAAGCAACAGGACATTTCACATATCCATGGGTCAAGATCAAAGCAACAGGACATTTCACATATCCATGGGTCAAGATCAAAGAAACAGGACATTTCACATATCCAAGGGTCAAGATCAAAGCAACAGGAGAGAAGAAATAGAAAAAATGAAGGTAGATGCAACATATCAAAATTCATATCAGACATGTGTATATCTAGACACCAAAGCTCATAATATGTGTTACTGCGACATGCTCGGCGCATGTGCAACTACTTACCAAAGCATCCCTATCGTCTCCCAGGAGTCTGGTTCCGATATTGGTTCCCACTGGGTCATCCTCATAGGCCACAAAGCTGTAGGTAGTCTGCGTGAAGAACGGTGGGTTCAGGTTGCGGTTGATGTTGATGTATACAGTTGTAACATCTTGCTTTGGTGGCAATCCATCATCTTGAACCAGGAGCACCAGCTGGGGGGAGGGGGGGGGGGGAGTATAGTTGTAGTTAGAGTTTTAAGGCACTTGCGACACAATTAGATCATATACGTGTCGGAGACTAGAGTTGTTACTATAAAGTAACAAACGCAAAAAAAATTTGATAGGAAAGAAGGAGCGATTCAAATCAGAACACCTGCCAACCACCTGCCTCTGGGGAAAAAAAGATGGAACGGTGGAGTTCAAGGCACACCTACTTGCAAGCAACCAACTAAATTGATCTCTCCAAAGGGAAAATACACACAGATATACACACAGGGACATGCACAAACATGCACACACGCACCCACCCACCCACCCACCCACATCGGTAGCCATCTCAGACTCGCAACTGTAAGGTGGAGGGTTCAAATTCCCTCAGGGGCCTGACGTTGTGTCCTTGGGAACTCACTTTACACGAATTTCGCTCGCTTCATCCACAGGGAATGGGTACCCAGCTATAGACAGTGAAAGATCTTGTCAGTTTGTTAGTGTTAGAGAGCTTAATCAGCTGCATGCATTGTATGCTTCCTGCCAGGAAGCTGAGAATGTTTCTGAGCATTCCATGGTCTCCTGGGGTACTAATATAGTGTAAAGCGCATAGAGCGTGCTGTCGAGCGGGGACATGCGCTATACAGATGTTCTTTATCAATATTATAATAAAGGAGGCAGGCGTCTGAACCTGGCTCTCAGGACCAATCCAATACAAGATCCCAGTAGAAAGACCAAGATACTAGATACAAGTCTTTCCCCACTCAGGAATAAAACGCCGGTCTCCTGCAAGCGACATGTGCGACAGCGAAAAAGCTAACCACTGCATCACAAACTTTGGGGAGATGTTTTTGGCAGAGACTAATCAATTATATCAAGAACATAGTATTGTGCATGATCTGAATGAAAAAGAATCGAAAAGTTTCGGAGTAGAATGTTTCTGCAATGACATTTTATCACACGTATACAGTCACTTACAGTGTAGAGTTGATTGGAAGATGCAGGGATGTCATTGGTCACCCTCACATTCACCTCGTTGTTGTTCACTTGCTGAATTTCAAAGTACAGCACTCCATTTCCATTGAGAATGGAATATTTCAGTGTGCCAAAGCGATTCTGAAAGAGAAGCAAAGACTTAACGACAATAAATGATGTGCAGAGTAGAAAATAGTGAAACACGACAAATTAGAACCATGCAATGATTTTAACTATATGAGACTTATTCTGTTCATAGAAAGAACTAAAATAGGAATTTCTGCAAAACGGAAAGCAATGCATTCAAGGAAGTATGCTGTGTGGATCTTTATTTTTTTCGCTTTAGCAAGTGTTTTTACGGCATGTACAAAACAAACCGATAGATGTTTGGTAGTAAATAAGGAACAAACCACACAAGAGCATCCACCAACCACCCGACCTACACATAATACTCCCTCCTCTCAGTTGCCAGGAAAGGTAGTTCTATCCATTCAAATCCCTCACCATCTCCCTCAATTATACTGAAGACAGTTATAAAAGCAAACGTTGCACATATGGCAAATTTAAAAAAGAGCCAAATTTTGGTAGCACCTTCCCTCACCATTTGTCTCAATTAAACTGAAGACAGTTATAAAAGCAAACGTTGCACATATGGCCAATTAAAAAAAGAGCCCAATTTTGGTAGCACCTTCGCTCACCATTTTTCTCAATCATACTGAAAACAGTTATAAAGCAAACGTTGCACATATGGCAAATTTAAAAAAGAGCCCAATTTTGGTAGCACCTTCCCTCACCATTTGTCTCAATTAAACTGAAGACAGTTATAAAAGCAAACGTTGCACATATGGCAAATTTAAAAAAGAGCCCAATTTTGGTAGCACCTTCCCTCACCATTTGTCTCAATCATACTGAAGACAGTTATAAAAGCAAACGTTGCACATATGGCAAATTTAAAAAAGAGCCCAATTTTGGTAGCACCTTCCCTCACCATTTGTCTCAATTAAACTGAAGACAGTTATAAAAGCAAACGTTGCACATATGGCAAATTAAAAAAAGAGCCCAATTTTGGTAGCACCTTCCCTCACCATTTGTCTCAATTAAACTGAAGACAGTTATAAAAGCAAACGTTGCACATATGGCCAATTTTAAAAAGAGCCCAATTTTGGTAGCACCTTCCCTTAAGTAACACCGACAGGTAGAAGAAGTCAACCCTGGACATCAATTCATCCAAGCTGTAATCAGAATATAGATTAACACAGGTGTCAAACTCATGATAAACATAAGAGTGCAGTTCATACCACTGGATCATTGTCCCTCGCCGTGGGATTGCCCGGCCCAAGAACATCCCCAACTGAAATATCCGACTGAATGGTGTAGTTGTAAACAGAGGAAGTCCACCTGGGGGCATTCGTGTTGCGGTAAATGGCGATGTCCACGGGAGCTGGGTTGCTGGTCTGGGCTGGAACACCCCTGTCTATAGCCACCACCTCAAACTGGAAAGAAGTAAATAAGTTTATTCAGTGTTTATGGCCATCGGCCCACATCACATCATATAAAACACTTATTTCTTCAGTAAAGTTCCCATAATGAAAAGGCACAGGTTTTGCACATATCTCTTTTCATGGGTCAGACATTGCATATTTCTGTCACTGGGCCGAGTTAGGCTAGGAGGAATTAACAATTTCCTTTGATGGAGAAAATTTTAACAGTAGAAGAAAAAAAATTGAAATTCATCTTCAATTTTATGAGAGTTACGCCTCTCACATAAGAGTGACTTTATTCATTTCCACCGATCAGCTAAGATTTTTAACAAGGTAATGACTCTTCTGTTCCCATATGGCCAGAGGTTGATGATAATATACTCAGCTGTTTCTTGAAATGGAATGGTAAGAGAGAATAAATTATACTTGTGACAGACTTCTTCTTCTGTTTCGCACAGAATGATCAACAAACCTACTTCTTACTTAACTGAGAAATAAAACGCAAAAATGGACAATCAAACTCAAACAGAGAGGGCCAAACTGCATCTTGCGACACTATAAAGTTTCTCATTCTTTCTCGTTAAAGAATTTTTTGAAGCAAGTGTGTTTCAACATTTGTGTGATATGTCTGTCCCTGTGTCTATCACGTTGTCTGTCTCTCAGTCTATTCATCTTTCAGTCCACCCATTTCTGTCACTCTGGTTACAATATCTCTGTATTGTGGGTCTCTCACTAACTCACCATCTCCGTGTACCTCTCTCTCTCTCTCTCTTTCTTCTTCTTCTTCTTCTTCTTCTTCTTCTTCTTCTTCTTCTTCTTCTTCTTCTCTTTTTCTCTCTATCATTTCTGAGACTAAAGAACTACCCTCACTGACTACCCTCACAAACATTTTGTTTTTGGGGGATTTCTAAATTTATTTTTCATTATTTTAAAAAAATAAGTTTTTGAACATATATCCAATGAAAATATCTGGAAAAGAAAATGGACCAGGCCAATGAACTTACAGAGTAGCGGTCAGCGAGACATGGGGACTCCCTCAGATTGGCTCGGGGAAAGATAAAGCCATTGACTGAGTCTACGATGAAACACTGGAGGCTTCCGTCATTGGTGCTGCCCTCTCTCAACTCAAAGTAGAACTGGTTGTTGGGCGCCTGAGGAGAACACACTGGTCCATCAGTCACTAGAATAGCTCAAATCATTCCTGTACGGACTATGGAAATAACAGTATGGAAATGACATGCCAGACATGGGGTGGGGGGGGGGGGGGGGGAGAGGGTAGGATACAAACCTTATCATGAGGAAGAAGACATAATTTGAATTTCTTAGAAGAGCATACTGGCACTATAATCAGCTTGCGATATGTTTGTTTTTTAATTTGGTGACAAAAATCAGCACAAATTTTTTTTAATTTGCTAAACTGATCAGTTACGCTACTTGAGTGAAAAAAATCAAAGTGAAACTGTGACTTTTTGAACAAATTAGAATTCATATTTCGGAAAAAGAACACCTATTTTAAAAGGTCACGCTGACAAAACGTAAAACCTTTTTTATCTCGAAACAGCTTTGAATTTTTTTAAAGAAGGCCTTTGGTTAGATTATGTCAGTGTAATAGTTTCCAGGTGCAGCCACCACCTCCATTTCGTAGCCTCAGAACTGTTCTGTCCAAAGTGCCTCTTTAAATAATAATAATAATAATAATAAAAATAATAATAATATATAACATTTATATAGCGCATTTCCCAAAAAGTAGCCCAATGCGCTTTACATTGGAATACCCATTTTTCAAAACCTTTCTTACTACTTCCTTTCTTCTCATGCAATATATATTAATGCACATACACACACACACACATACACACACACACACACACACACACACAATTTTCATCCAGACATAGGAACAGAACAACTATAATGAAAAATAACGTTAAAAGCTTATAATGAAGGACAGGCCTGTAGGAACAGAAAATGTCTAAGATGTCTTTTGAAGCTATCAAGTGTTTTTATTTGTCTTAGTTTCATGGGTATTCTGTTCCACATAAATGGACCAAGATATGAGAAAGATCTCCCTCCATATGATTTGCATGATTTTACATCTTTACTGAAGCACACTTCGGGCACAATAGTTCTAAGGCAACTACAATTTGAAAGCTAAACATTAAATAATGAACAACAATAAACGATGATAATAACAGAAAAATAAAGCCACTTACAACGAGATCAAGGTCCGTGGCATTGACGTCAAAGATGAGGTCACTGTAATACAGGGTCTCTGGGATGGTGGTCGAAAATCGGGTCTCTGTCAGAACAGGCGGGCGCTGGTTGGAGGCTATGTAAAGGAGGGCCACGGTGGTGTTACACAGATTTCCACCGTCACAAACACGGATGCGGAGCTGGAAAGTGTTCAAGAAGAAAAGTTGACCCATCCGTATGCCTCTCTCTCTCTCTCTCTCTCTCTCTAGCTCACTCTTGTTTTTCCTCTTTCTTTCCTCCTCTCTCACTCTCTCTTTCTCTAACTCACTCTTGTTTTTCCTCTTTCTTTCCTCCTCTCTCACTCTCTCTCTCTTTCGTTTTCTTTTTCTTTTTCTTTCTCTCTCCTCTCCTCTCTCTCTCTCTCTCTCTCTCTCTCTCTTTCTCCCTCCCTCCACTCTCTCTCTCTCTCTCCCTCCCACCACTCTCTCTCTCCCCTCTCACCACTCTCTCTCTCCCCTCTCTCTCTCCCCTCTCTCCCCTCTCTCCCTCCCCTCTCTCTCTGTCCCCTCCCTCACTCTGCTCTTCTCTTTCTCTCCCCTCCCCATTCCACCCACCCATCCCCGAGAGTCCAGAACTAAAGCAGACCTAATATTCAAATTATTTTTTGCTCTCACATACTGCTTGTTGAGACAAGCAAGGGATTTGTGGGGGGACTCATCATCATCATTAAGTGCCAGATCTGTGGTAAAGATCGGCGATCAGGGCTCTCCATTCATTCCTTTGCTCGGATGCTCTTTAAAAAGCTACGTTACATAGATCTTCCCCCTGTATCCATCTGTTTAGGTTCTCTAAGTAGGTTGCCCTGGGCCTACCTAACCTCGCCTCGTTTGCCTTCAATTTTGCCAGTGAGAGCAAGATGTTCAAGACTTTTACGTCTATTCAGGTGTCCCACAAACTGCATTTGTCTTTTCCTGATTGTTTTTAACAGCGAGCGTCCCACGTAGGCTTCATCAAGTACTACCTCATTTGTTTGCGGGTGTCTAACTAACAAAGAATTTTACAAGATCAGACAAAGTTGCTACTTACCCTCAATGGGTTCTGACTGCTGCTGCTCAAAGGAGAGGTCAGACTGATAGAGCCAGCCTGGTTGATGGAGAATACGTCCTCCGAGCCATCGTCTCCAATAAGAGAGAAGGAGATCCGGCCATAGCGGGTACCCTGAAAAAGAAAAAATGTGCTTGTTTTCGTGGGCGTTTTATGGCACTTGCAATACAATTAGGTCACGTAAACGCTGATGATTTTAAGTGTTACCAGAGAGTAACAAACACAACAAAGGAAGGAGGAGGGAGGTGAGATAAGGATGATACATGTTTGACTGGAAAGAAGAAGAAAGCCACACCAGAGCATCCGTCATCTACCTACCTCAAAAGAATTAACAAGCAAACTGATGTGCATTCACGTCACCACCTCCATCTCTTCTCCCTCCCACTCTCTCTTTCTCTCAGTCTATCCTACTGTCTGTCTATTCACATCTCTCCCTCCATCTCCCTCTCCCTCGCCTTCACCCTATTTCACACACACACATACACACACATACACACACACACACACACACACACACACGCACCCCACACCTCCCCCCACACACACACCCACACACACACACACACACACACACACACATAAACAACAATAATCTAAAGCTAGATACATACTCA